TGTGTGTGTGTGTGTGTGTGTGTGTGTGTGTGTGTGTGTGTGTGTGTAGGCATCTGCATAAGCATACAGGCATGCACACATGGAAATCTGCAGACAACTTGGAGTAATTGGTTCTCTGCTTGCACCAAGTAGGTGCCTGGGCTCAAACCTGGGTCATCAGACTTGAGGGCAGATGCTTTACTCACCGAGCCCTCTCTTTGCTCTTTCAAGTAACTTTTATATTGGATTTGTTATAAGTATTTTAAATCTCTTTCTAAATGTCCTATATTTCCTATTTCTCATTTCTTAGATATGATGGATTATAACATTTAACATTTGTTTCACAGTAGCTTGTGGGAAAATGAATGAATGCTGTGTACATGAAATTTGAAGCTATGCTGTCATTTTTACTGCAATCTGTATGAAACACAGTAACTCGTACCAAGTGGCTTTTCTGACTAATGTTTGGACTAGCAGCAATTTATTCTTCCCTTTCTTGCTGTCTTCTCTTTGCTCCAATTCTTTAGGCTTCCCGCCTATTTCTCTCCATCCCTTAGTTCTCTTAGCATGTCTTAAGAGTTTTGTCTCTTCTGCCCTCTGAGGTCTCTTGGATCCTCGAAATCATACCAGTTTCTCAGTATTATGTTCTCGTTATTACTAGCAGCAGGAATATGACATAGAAGCTTCAGGCCACCCTTGCAAAATGCCCGTGTGTGATTTTTGAAAGTACACCAATATTGCTAGACCTGTCTGACATTGCAGCTAAGTGTATTTAACAGTGTTCCTTTAGAAATAGCAGAAGTTCTGCTTTCTGCTGTCAATTTATTGTAGTTTTTATACAATAAGTCAGTTTGTAGGCATTTAGTAAAGTAACAATGAACTTTAGATTTAGATAGATTATGGTAGTTGTACCACGTTGTTTATTGAAAGATGGAAGCATCTAGGATGAGTTAATGGAAAGCACCTTTCCTGTAAAGTGGTAAAAATATAGGGGAGAATAAAGATACATACCAGGTTGATGACAGAACCAAGAAGGTGCACTGATACTAGACAACCTGGAATTGGAGGAGGCTGGGGATGGTTTAGTGAGACATGAGTGTTAATTTGTATTGATAAAACCTATTGCTCAGTAGTGGGTTTGATGACCTTGAGCCTTTCTGTTCCAAGCACTTAGCCTTGAAAGGTTAGAAAGCAGTGCTGTTAAATAAGGCTAAAGAATTCAAATAATGTGTCATGGTTTTGTAGCTGTAGACACAAACCCAAAGAATGTCTGCATTCTATGCAGATGGCTACCGAATAGTAATACAATTTTGCATAGTGAAATGAAACATTGAGAAAAAATAAGCAAAGCCCCAAGAGTAGAAGTTTTATCAGTTAAGTTCTCTGATTTAAAGTCAGTAGAACTCTATCACTGTTGGATCAAAGAAGCAAAGTTGCAGTTACACACTCTTTGGAAGTATTGACAGCTCCCATCAAGTTCTGTAGAATACACTCGTTGAGGGAGGGGGGATGGAGAGAGAGAATGTGTGAGTGGACCTTGGTCTCCTGTGTGCCAGGCAGACAAGTGCTTTACATGAAGCTTCTGTGGTCCACTATAACATTTTTAAGTGGCAGCCTTCACAGGCTGCTCTAAGAACATAAGCTAGCTAAACTGTCTGAATATAAAACAGTAACGTCATGCAAATTGGAAAACTCTTCTAACATATAACAACAGCATTTATTGAACCTTAGAGTAAGCCAGGCACAATTCTAAGTGCTTCATGTTTTATCTCAAAACTTTCCTAACAGCTTTTTTAGGTACAATTATTTGCCCCATTTGCCTAGACAGGAAGTGGCTGGGCATGTAGCTTGGCTCAAGTAGTGACAGGAATTAGATAAAAAGTAAGTAAAACTCCCTACCCCTCATTGCAACACCTGGAAAAAACAGGGTTTTTTTGTATATTTTTTTTGTTCATTGTATATTCTTAGCTCACGTAGAACCTACTATGTAGACCAGCTAGCCTGAAATTCAGAGAGATTTGCCTCTGCCTCCTGAGTGCACAAGTAGAACACTTTAAGAGACTACAAGAGCATTTCTCTCAGAATTTTAAGTATGGCTTAACACCAGTTGATGTATTAATGTAATTCTCTTTTGATTCAAGGAGAAAACATTTACATAGAGAAAACAATTAATAAAATAAAGCCATTTATTTTTGGTAAAAAGGTTCCAACTACAAATGTAAAGAAGCCTTCTTGGTTTGAGTAGGACTTTTCATGACAAAATAGAAACATCAAATCTTTAAATATGTCATTAAATCCCATTGCATTCAGATACAGCATACATCAGTTATCAACAGTTCTTTGGCAGCTTAACCATTATAATTTTAGAGGAAACACATGGGCCTGGGTGTTTATGCAGCTCAGCTGCAGATGCCTAGCATGCATGAGGTTCCATCCCCAGCACCATGTACACAGTAACTGTCTTAAAAGAATAGGTCAAAACCAAATACTTAGGGAAATTAATGGCACACAGGACCATGTGGCAAATTCAAAGCCACAGGAGACAAAAGCCATGGATGTAGATCAGTGATGAGGAGCACACCTAGCATGTGCAAGGCTCTGAGCCCAGTCCTTAGCAGCAGAACAAATTACAAGAATGCCAGGAAGCCCATCACTGTTCCTGGACTATGGTTGCTTGCCGAGAAAAACTGATAAAGTGTAAGCAAGAAACTGTACTGGAGCGCTACTGTGAGGTTATTATTTGGGTGTCTGAATTCACAACATTAAAATGGAATTGCTCTGAAAATTTTAAGTCATGTTCTTTATAAAAAGTGCTTATGCCTCAGAAGAGCTGAGGCTGAAATGTAAAACACGGAAATTATGTGAGGATATTGCCACCCAGTGACATAGTGGCCAAAATCACACAAGGGAAAAAAAAAAAAATCATGGGGTTTGATATGGTGCTAGCCCATGAATTTGCTATCTTTTTATTTGGGGAGATACAAACCATCTTAGAAAAACTATGGTAATGCATGTTTATATATGCGTGTAGACGTGGGAAATTTTGTGGTTTTTAATCCATTTAAAAAAATATTGGCCATGATGTTTACAGACAATGAATTCTAAATTAAGACATTAACATATGCCAAATTCTGAAGCCAAAACTGGCGATTCACTCTTACAGTCCCAAAACTCAGAAGGTTGAGGCCGGAAGATTACCAGGAATCTGAAGTCAGCCTAGGCTACAGAAAGAGGCACTATATCAACCTTAACCATCTCCCACCTTAAAAAAAAAAAAGCAATCAAAGAAAAATTACCCTTTAGAACCATAGACAGATGATACAGCTAGTAATATTTTATTTTATAAGTCTGAATGTGCCTGTGTGTATGTGTGCCACATTCATGCAGTGCCATGGAGGCTGGAGGAGGGCATCAGACCCTCTGGTGCTAGAGTTATATACAGTTAAGAGCTGCCATGTGAGTGCTGAGAACCAAGTCCTGAGACAGAGTTTTCCTGTGCGACCTAGGCTGCCACAAAACTCAGATCCTCCTTTCAGTGCTTCAGGTGCTGGGATTACACCCAGGTGAGGTTCAGAAGTACCTCAGCAGCGAGCAGACAAAAGACTGGGAGTTGGTGTCTCAGTTTGTCCAATGGTTATGAAAGGAATCTGCTATGACTCCTTCGAGGCCCCTTCAGTTGGTGGCTGCTTTAAGCTCTGAGTGGTTGGTGACGATGGCGTTGGAATAAATGACAGGACAAGCAGATGAGCTGCAGTGGACCTCCTTTGGAGGTCCGGATGCACTCACTGCCAGTTTTCACCTGGAAGATGTAGGACCGAGTATTTTATTCTAATAAAGTGATTTGAGTTTTCTTATGAGATTTTATTTTAAACAAATGAAAAATCTATTTTTTAATAAAATCTATTTTATTTTTAAATAAAAATATTTAATAAATATATTGTTTCATGCTAATTGATAAGAAACAGTAACTCCTAAACATTTACATATAAAATATGCTAAATAATGAATTTTGAGTATGAATACTTTTGATATTTTAGACACTTTTGATATGCTAATCTGAATCACAAGTGTATCCCATATTGTAGTTAGACTCAAAGTTTGCTTTATCTCTGCATCTTTGTTTTTATTAGCAATCCAGTGGGGAGAAGATGGCCGTCCGTTTCATTTCCTCTTCTATACTGGCAAACAGTCATACTATTCATTAATGCATGTAAGTATATTCATTATAAGCTATACAGCTATTCTGGAGACTTCTTTCTGTGTCAGCAATCTTGTGCTGCCTCTGCTATTGCATCAGAATGTTCATCCGTAAGAGAAAGTCGAATGTGCTCACAAGTTCAAGTCCTCTCTGGCCAAGGGGGCCTGGTGCAGTCAGGACTGTCTACCTCCAGACAGATACTGCTTCACTTCTGCTACTCCTGTTAAAGTTGGGCCTTCCATTGGTCAGTGCAGTGTGCGCCAGAGTCTAGGCCACAGCAGCCAGGCGCTGATGTCCTACTGTGCTTCGAGTATACTAGAAAACTTGCCTTGCTGCCATCAGAGAGAGTTGTTTGATAGTGTGCGAATTTGAGGGCAGTCCCCAAAACTGAGAAAAAAGTTGGATGCCAGTATCCATTTTTTAAAAGACAGAACCATTTTATTTTTAGAACATAATGTCAAGTTCTGTTTTATCCATAATGTGATTTTTAAAGCTATAGAAATATTTATGGGGCTTTCCCCATCCTCGGTCAGAGGCTGTAGCCGCTGCGCTTATTCCTCAGCCTTTGGACTATCTGCTGTTTACTTGTGCTTCACAAACCCAACGGATGAAATCCCACTTGTCGGGTACATTTATTTCTGGGGGAAAAAAAGAAAACCTTCTTTTTGCTTTTTGTTGACCTTGGGCAAATGAGCTTCTTGCCCTGGCAGAAATGAAATGAATGACAAATGTAGAGTGTGTCTTTGCTGAGTAATGGGGCTGTGCTCCAGCTTCCACGGAGGCTCCACGTACAGCCTGCGGCTGCCCAAGGACCCCTGCTGCTCATTTAAATAGGTATGTCAAATCTGCCTCCAAACGCTGCTGGTTTGATCTGTGGTAATATTTGTGAAGGTTCCATATGGACTTGAGCCCCCTGCAGTGCTAAGAAATAATGTACAACGCTTCATGGTGCAGACGCAAATTTCCCTGAAAAGGGGTGCAGTGCTGCGCTTTAGCTGTCGGAGGGGATGATGGAGCTGACGCGCTAGGCCTGTCAACTTGTTACACGGATGGGCTGCACGCAGCGAAGCTGCGGAAAATCTGTGCCTTTTAACTTTTCTACTTAATCACGGTTGTAGCATCGCCTTTAGACTGTATGCTACATTAATTCTCTTCCTGCCTTCTGCCTTCATCCCAAGTTTCACGGAAAAAAGTAAAGCACACAGGTCTCACAGAGGAGCCTTATCAAACAGCTGTCATCTGGCAAGCCATTTGCATTTGTTTTGGCTGAAATGGAGCAACCCAAGGGCAAGATATTCTGTTGCATTCCATCATAATGAAGAAATTACACATTGTGTAAGAGGTGGCTTTATTTTTAGTTTGCTTGTGTGCTTTAAAAAGTATTGCTCTAGAAACTGACGAGATAGAATTTTACCATACTTTGACCAAAATGTCAAATTATATATGACTAATAAGAGCTCTTCCCCTGGACCGGGCTGGGTTTTATTCCTCATAGAAGAATTCTTTGGGCTTTTAAATTTTGTTAACTCAGGAAATTCTAAATGTTGGCCAGGTACATCAGCATCACTTACGGCAGATGCCATTAATTAGAGCTGCAGTCACACCCATGTCGTCTCTTAAAGCATACAAATCAGCAGCTTCTGAGGTGCTCGGACTTTGAAATCACAGCTGCATGTTCACTGCTCAGCCTGCAGAAGCACTTTCATGCTGAAGTGAGCACTGCACACCAAGTCCAACTGAAACAGACCAGTTCGCAGGCTTGCTCTCCTTTGTTCTCTAACGTCCTGCAGTGGGGGTATTTTCCCTCTGTCCCCAGGCAGCACGGGAAACAGCCTCTGTAGACTGGCTGACTGCAAAGCCTCAGGAATGAAGCTTTGTTGCTACCATTTGGTTTTGCCAGTATAGTTTTCTGTGAGGATGACACTCAGGGAAAAAGGGAAAAAGACACTCAGCCAAGCAGCCTTTCTCATTCATGTCTGTGACTGGCTATTATTGTGTGAGGCAGGGCAGTCCATGGTCAGACTTTGGACAAGGAAACTGATCTCATGCCTCTGTGCAGTTATGTGAGGAGACCTTTCTGAGCTCCATTAACCTTTCTTATTGCCTGCAGTTGAGCTGAGTCTTTTTAGTATAGAAGGCTGTTTGCATAGTAAGTATGTATACCTCTTTATAGCCAGTCTAAGACAGCCCTAATGCACACTGCATTTAAGAACAGAATATAAGCTAGGTATGGTGAGACATATCTTAATCCCAACACTTGGAAGGCAAAGGCAGGTGGATCTCTGAGTTTGAAGCCAACCTGGTTTACATAGTGAGTTCTAGACTAGACAGGACTACATAGAAAGATGCTGCCTTTAAAAAAAAAGAGTAAAAGCAGTATATATCTTGGCATGACACATGCATATAACCTCGGCATTTATACGGCAGGGGCAAGAGAATTGCTGCAAACTCAAGGTCAGTCTGGTCTGCCAATAGAGAAATTTAGCAAGACCCTGTCTCAAATCTAAAAGAGGGGGCTAGTATATGATGCTTTAGTGGATACTGTTTCCAGTTCATGTACAGTTGGCTCATCAATTTTTTAGGAAGTAGTGAAATTTTTGAGAAAATGCGACAATGAAAAGAAACATGTAGCTTATTTGTTCCTATCAGGAAATGAAATATGATGGAAACATGTAAAGTGAAGGAAATCTTTCTGATCTGTGGGGTGCTCCTACTTTGTCACACTCTGAGGGTTCATTTATAGGTCAATTGGACCCCCAGTTTTGCTCTGGATCTAGTGATTCCTGTGTCTTCAGTTAGCAAGATGTACATATTTAATAAAGAAGTATAAAACCATCTTGACACAACTTCTTAAACAACAAAAAGTGGTTTCAAAAGGTAAGAGACTTTCTGGGTTTTGCAGAGTGGCACTGAATAGCTGAAAGGGCCTAGGTGCTTGACAGCATTGCCTGGACCTGCCTTCTTTACTGAAAATTTATGGTTTCCATTCCCTCAGCAGCCATTTAAACAGTAAGACATGTATACTCCTCAGGCATGAGAAGCTGCAGCCTAGATTTCAAGAACAGAAGGAAAGAGAGAAAATAAAAGAATTTTCCTGAAAAAGCTGAGCAAAGTTATAGGACAGAGAAGCATTTCTAAGGATGTTTTATGTGTTTGTTTGTAAAAAGAAAGTAGGGCAATGGCTTGGTGGCACACCACTTACCTAAAAAATGTGAGGCTCTGGGCTCTATCCCTAGCACTGCGAAATGGAATTGCTGTAGAGCAGATATGCAAGCCATGGCTGGTCTAGAGAGACCCTGTATGTATGACTCAGTGGGATGGTCAGAGGGCTGGGCCAGGCGTGTAGGCGGCTGCAGCCTGTCGCCTTCGCCCTGCTCTCCTGGAACAGCGTAAGCCTGCCCAAGATGACTGTCTTGGTGGCAGATGTAGTAATGGACTGTGTTTTGGGGAGCACTTACTAGAAGTTGAGAGTTGGGTTAGGTTTTTGGGCCTTGTTTTTTGTTTGTGTTTAACTTAGCTATGATAACAAGAAGATGTTTCTTTGGCACAATTTTGTGAATTTTAGTTAATGGTAAGCTGACCACTATTCTTTTGGACATGTGCCAGAGGACTGTTCATCTTGCAATAGAGAAGTGAAAAATAAAGGAGACCAGGGGCTATGGTTCCTTTCAGAGTTGTGCGTCAATGGCCAGATTCCGTAGCTTCCGTTAGGTGTCATCTTCCACCCTGGAAACAAAGCCTTCATACATGGGCCCTGGTTTGCCGGAGAAAATAGTATCCAGACTGTAACAAAGTCATTTGCTCACTATGGGATGTGGTTATCTGACTCTGACATGGGGACCCTGCAGGAATTATTTTTGGTTACTTTATTGGGTTCCTTTTCCTACTACCCTTCTCCACCCCAAATCCTTCCAACCTCCTGACACAAGATAGGAGAGAAAGAAGAGTAGAGAGAAAAGGGGTGTCGATTAGATTACTTCCTGCTCCTTGGGGCAAGTTTGATCTTTGTATTCAGGCTATCCCTACCCAGCAACAAGCACTATAGCAGCCAGCAAGAGCAACAGGGGTGGCAGTAGCTGCTCTTGGGTCTCTGGCATTGATAGGCCCTCTGCAGGGTCCCCAGAATTTCAAATGTAAATTTGTTTTCAGCTGGCAGGATCATGCCCCTGCTAGAGCACAAGACAAACCATGGCTGCTGTAGACATTCTGCAGCAGTCCCATATCCCACACCTGGGATTAAAACAAAAACATATTCATACAACATTTCTGTGATTTCAAAGAAACCAAAATTCTCACTACGGGGGCCCCTTTGTCAAATTTATTTACTAAGACATGACTGGAGTGCCCTTTCCCTGAAATGCTTTCAAGAAAGAACTTGAGACTTAGTGGGTAGACTTTGGAAGTGTTGCATGTTGTACGCCGGGGACTTCTACTAAGAGGGTACTTAGTAAGTACCTCAGGAAAGATTGTGAATAAAGGAATCTGTACGTCTTAAACCTTGTTACTCAAGAGATATGGCCTGCAGTCCTTTGTACCCATATGCTTTTGATATCTCATGAAACCTATGCTAGGACAGGTTATGCAAAATAGTGAAGTCTGTAAATTGTGCTTGCCATCATTACTCAGATACACTTTCTCCAAAGCATGGAGATAAACCCTTGGTTTTAGGCCTGCTATAACTCAGCATTCAAGAATCTTTACATAAGCAGAGCTCACTCAGACCTTTAGGAGAGATCAGACATAAAACTGTGAAAACCAGAGTAGAAACTTAGTATCATGTAGAAACTTCACCTATATTTTGCAGCTAATGGAATATTTTCAGAATGCTACTTTAAATTGATGGAACTATGTGGTTCCTGACCACCCCCACCCCCATACACACACACACACACACACACACACACACACACACACACACACACACACACACGGGAAATGAAGGACTAAATAGCTCATTATATACTTATACTGTTGGGCTAAATTTAAAAAAGAAGTACAAAGGAAGAATGAAAAGCTGTCACTCTGATCTGTATACGTTTTATAAACAGGGTCTGTTTGCCTTGTGAAAAAGTCACTGGCATTTCAGAGATTCTTCTGCCTCTAGAGTGGGCTGCTTGATTGGGCCACTAAAGACAGCAAGCCAGCGTCCTGGGACAAGGTGCTATGGCTTTTGTACTTGGCTTAAATGTTTCTAGATGTTCCTTGTGACCATTTGGTGAATGTTTAAACCTCTTGGATCTTGTGCTGCTGTCTTTAAAAATGCAATTAAAAACAGCTGTGACCAAGTAACTGTTTGACAACTGCATGGAGGGATTGTTTTTAAAAAGCTGTATACCATTGTGCGTGTGCGTGTGCGTGTGCGTGTGTGTGTGTGTGTGTGTGTGTGTGTGTGTGTGTGTGTTCAGTACTCAGGTACCTTTAATGCACATTTTCTTAGTATATGAATAATTTCTATTGTATCCCTTATATACTCAAAGCATGCATTTAGGAAAAAAATGTTTTAAAAATAGGATTTAACTTGCTGCCTCTGTTAATTTGATGGGATCATTTCTTTTGTAGTGGTTCAGATACTATAATGAATGGCTTTAATTTGAGAAGTAAAAGTCTGAGATACTAGTTGTAAGCATTGATGTCCTTGCTGCTGGCAGTGGACTTCGCAGAGTGGCACATGTGGCGAGGACTCTTGTGGTTTCGTTTTGAATGACCTTTTGGATAGGTAGACCATTCACAGAGGGGTGGCACAGGTCTGCGAGTCAATTGCAACTTGAGGTACATCAAAACCTCTCTGAATTACATTGGTGCTTATTTTGTGTAATTTTTGTTTACACCAGCGGTCAAAACACTTGAGGTGATTATTACTGAAATATTAATTCTCTGTGATTCTTTAACAGAGTATGAACTGTCAGTGATTGAGCAGTCTACAATGGCAATTACTGTTGCTTACTATTTTGTATGCCAGATACAACTGACTTTTCCTACGCTGCCCTTCCAGTGGACTGTCATTTGTTGACCCTTCCTAAAACTGGAATTTCTACATGATTAGTATAACCCAAACAAATTGTGGAAGGATACTGAGAGTCATGCTGCTCAGGCTCCAGGAAGGGTTTTTGGTTTAAGAATTCCTTTTCTCACCCTGAGCATCTGGTATTTTCAAATTAAGGCACCTTCCAAATTTGACTCATACATTATGGAAATCGGGTGGCACAAGGGGTGGATAGGCTTGCTTTGATTTTATGAAATATTAATCATAGCTGTGATTAATGATTCAGCATTTCACATCTGGGTTATTCCTGTCATATTTGAAATTACACTATTAAGTACAGTATATAAGCTTAGTTAGGTGGGGTCATTCGAATTCTCTAGTGTCCCTTAAAAATTAAGTAGAAATGTAATAATATACCAAAAGCTACCAGTGATAATGTGTGATGTTGACAGTTCCTGGCATATTTTATGCCCCCAATGATTTTTCTATGCAAATCGGAACACATTTCTTCAGGGAATTGAAGCTATAGAATTTACTTCCCAGAGAACCGATGTTTTTAGCTAACCACAAGGCAAACTCTGAAGAACCGTTTCAAACACTAAGAGAATCCATGGAAGTAGAACATTAACAGTGCTTTCACTGATTTGACTGTTGGAAGCATTTTTGGCCATTGCTATAGGCTGGGCACTGTGCTAAGTTCTTTGCATTCTTTTTCTTATGAAAAGAGTGTATGCAGCTTGGAGAGTTGGTCAGTGTAGATGTGGCTGTGTGCTAGAGGCTCTGGAATCATGTCCCAGAACCTCTTGCTTAAGAAGCCCAAGGAGCAGAAAGTTACTGGGTTTTGCCCAGTCCAGACATTGGTCATCAGTGAGCAGAACTCACTGTGCTTGACATTTAATGCACACTTGCCATGTTTTCTTTTACATTTCTTTACAAAATCATATGTGAGTAGTTATGAGTATAAACATCACCAGAAGAAAATGGTGTCGTGAAAGAATGGTTATAGGAAAATATAGACTTAAAGTGAAAATTAGGCTGACAAAATGGCTTGGAGTGAAGGCACTTGCTGAGTTAAATCCCTGAAACCCACGTGGAAATGGAAAGGGAGAGCAGGCTCTTCAGAGGCATCCCCTGGCCTTCCCACATGGAGTCACATACCAACCACATACATGCTTACACAATAATACATAGAAATCTGAAAAAAAAAATTTAGTGAAAACTGCTTGAAAGCCATTGAAAATGGTGAATTCACCAGCCTGGATTTTGAGGTGTCTTACAGTAGTTACAGTGTTACAGTAGGTAGTGTTGCAGCAATTACAGCTAGTGTTACCGTCGTTGCAGTGTTACAGTAGTTGCAGCGTCATAGTTCAGGTGTCACAGTAGTTACAGTGTTACCATGTTACGGTGTTGCCTATTACAGTAGTTAGTGTTGCAGTAGTTGTGTTACCGTAGTTTCAGTGTTACAGTGTCACAGTAGTTACGGTGTTGCCGTGGTCACAGTATTACCACAGTGACAGTGGTTGTGGTGTTACAGTAGAGTGTTGCAGTAGTTGCGGTGTTACAGTAGTTACAGTGTTGCAGTAGTTGCTGTGTTACAGTTGTTACCGTGTTAAGTGGTTTCAGTGTTACATTTGCTACCGTGTTACAGTGTTGCAGTACTTACAGCTAGTGTTAGAGTAATTGTCTTGGTTAATGTAGAAAGTTAAAGAAACCCCTTCAAGGGGAGGAAGGTGTGTTCTGAGCTAGTGTTCTCATAAGTCACATATCCCTGTCTGCCTTTGAAGATCATGTCTCCAGCCGTTGCAGTCTCAAGTCCAAAACTAGCCGACTCCTTCTTTGCCTGAAGCACCAGCTCAGGCAGTGCCACTTGCACGCTGACATGCTGTCTGTCCACTTGGTAAACATGAGGGAGCTTCCTGTCATGGAAGGCTTAACCTATTGAGAGTGTTGAGAAGTCTTGAGAACTGCTTTTTAGAAACTAGTGTGCTGAAAACATTTTGGTCTGCTACTACTTGGGGTTTCACCCTAATGCAGCTTTTCTCAACCTTCCTGATGCAGCCCCCAACCATAAAATTGTTTTCATTGCTACTTCATAACTGTAAATTCATTGCTGTTATGAATTGTAATGTAAATATCTGTGCTTTCTGATGGTGAAAGGGTTGTTCAACAGTCCCTGTGGGGTTGTGACTCACAGGTTGAGAAACACTGTTTTAACAATGTTGTGTTAGCTGTGGAGAAGCCCAGTGACAGCATTTGCTTAGCATGATCAGTTCTGAGTTTAGTCACTAAGCTATAGGTGTCATAAATTCACTGGGTCTAAAGGGCATATAAGTTAGGACTTTTTTCTTAAGAAAAATTTGTATCCTATTTGTGAAACTGCAGGAAAAGACATAGTTTTCAGGAGTTTTGTTGTTTTAACCATACTCAGGGAGGTGAAATGTAGAAGTTGTTACAGACATTTTTAAGTTAGTTAAAGTAAGTGTAAACTCTCATTGAAATTTCCGCCCCTTTGTTCAGAGGAGAACTAGTTTTACTAAAACACATTTTCATCATATATACTCTGAAACTAGATTGAGGAAGGGGCACTAGCATAAGGGGTACTCAAAAATGACAAAATATATTATCAAGAACATTGTACCATCCCTCTCATGTTAGCTGTGTATCTTGTTTGCCTTAGGAAGTATATGGAAAGGTCCTCCAGCTAGAAAAACACAGAGATCCACTTTCAGAAAAAACTGAGTTCAGGTAAGCTCTTGTCTTCCATTAGTAACATGAGGCCTGAAGTTTGCACAGTATTTCAGCATTAGTCACTAAAGTTAAGCTTCTAAATGTGTGATTTTTATTTAAGGGGAAGCATGCAGAGCTTATTTTTTATGTTACCTCATTACAAATATATGGATTAAATGGTATTTAATCATTCTTTTGGATTATGATGTACTCAGTGTTTTGTATATAGCTGATCAGTCAGCTCCATCAACCTGTGCATCCAGCTTTGGACGGACCTGCTCACATATTTGTTGTACAGAAGATGTCTTAGTTGACTTGTTCAGCTTGTGGCTGTGGCTTTGGGGTTTTGTTGTTATTATTTGTTTTGTTTTAATTGGGACTTTATTACTACCTCAGTTGATAGGAAAACACTGTACTGTGTATGTCTTCTGAGTAAATTACTTAGGCACAGTTTCAAGCTTTAGGGAGTCTGGTAACTTTTAACTGAAGTTTTGTAATAACACATGAAACGCTTAAAATAAAATGTTTGCTCACAGTGTCTTTTCTAAAGTAGACTGAGGAAATGGAGTACTTCTCCAAAATGGTGTATGCGGGAGTACTCCTGAATAACATGAAAATGTGTCTCCACATCATAAATTGCTACTGTGTGTAGAATCTTTTGTGATAGAACTCTAATTGCATGCTTAATTAAAAATATATGTGATATTTTAACAGAGACCTGATTGGCAGCAGATGGCTGATTAAGGAGGAACTAGAAGAAATGTTAGTGGAAAAACTGTCAGATCAAGATGTGAGTAATTAATCTTTTTAATTTAAGGGGACCTGTGTCATGAGAATGCAGACAATTGCTGTATTAAGATCCTAATAGTGATGCTCCTCAGAGCCAGGTGTCCCCAGACACTTACCCTTGTTCTTATACAGCCCTTGTTGATTCTGCAGTCAGGAAAGTGTCACGTCTCGTCTCCAGATCCTCCTCTTCCTTCTGAAAGTGCTCTCATGTCTCCCTACCAGTTGTTTTAGGGAGCAAAGCAGATGTTGGTTTTTGGTCTTTTCAGTAAGGCCAGTAGTTAATTTTATAAGCTAATAATGAATACAAGGAGCCATCAAGTAGAAAAGGATTCAGCCATCTGTAATCTCCTGGTTTACCTCATTCATATGCCTGGTCTACACGGGCAGTGGATTTTATCTTAGGAGCTACACATCAGCTGTTTCACAGACACTTTAGAATGCTGGCTCATGGCTATATTTTTCTAAAACTCACCCCAGATCTGACATAGAATCCTTGGAGAGCCACCCAGGAATCCAAGGTGAAAAAACTCCCTCAGTGACTGTGCCCTGTAAAGTTCGTGGCCCCGCTTTAGGGGCAACGAACACTTAATTGTGTTTGTTGTGTTGAGTTTTCTAATGTCGCTCAGCATTATCAGAGGAGGTTGGACTTGTTACATATTTAGATGTAAATTTATACTCAATAGGCCCTGCTGTGCCAATGGCTAGTACTGATGATGCCTTGCCAACCTACAGGGTTTAAGTTGTGTCCATCGCTTGTTCTCATTTAATACTGGAGATGTCAGTGGCTGGGAAAGTTGCAGTTTGCTTAGACAAGGTGTCAGGGACTTTGCTGGTGGCAGTTCTGGAAGTGATTGGTAGGATCTTGACTGCGGAGCCCTGCTGTGCAGGAATTGAATTGGAAAGATCTGCTTCTTCAGTGAATGCATCATTTCATTTTCTTCCTGTTTTTCAGCCACCACTTTGATTTTTGTAAAATTTGTGGATTTCTGTCTGCTTTTTTCATTTTGGAAGTTCTCTAAGGCGTTCTCTAAGCATATAGCTATGAGAGCAGACCACAGCTTAGGTGGTAACCCTCTATGCTTTCAGAGTGTCTGATATTAGCAGAAGTCCTGGAACGTGTGTCTGTGAGAGAGCTGAGGGTAGTGGTAGTAGACGGTGGCCTCCTGAACCATAGCCTAGTTCGTGAGCAAAGCCGTGTCATATGCAGTGACCCACTGAAGGTTTGTTAAGGTCCTTGAGAAGGAACTTTGAGAACAGCTTACTGCAAAGACAGCTGTGTAACGGGGGGGAAGCGGGAAAGCCTAGCAGCATGGACCATGGACCCTGGCTTGGAATGTACATGCCTTCCCTTTTATTCCTGTCTCCAGGACGTTGTATATCAACAGCTGTTTAAATTCTCATCAAAATGGTGAGATTCTTAAATATTTCATGTTGTCATTGATGGCTTTCCCCGGAAAGGCGAGTGTGGCAAAGTTGGGTGTGACTTTGGGGTTGGCAAGGAACAAATAAGTCATCAAAATCTGGGCTCCACGATCCATATTAACTAAGGCTCTTAAGTGTAGTTGTTCCTTCTCCACAGACACTCCAGAGTGATTATTCTGACTTCTAATTTTAAGGGTTAATACCAAGTTGTTTACTTTCTAATCACATGTTCAAGAACTATTAAAAAAAAATGCACAGAGTAGCAAGGATAATTTATTTCAAGAGGTTGCCCTTTAAGTCAAGTATCTCTTGAATTTTTAAATAGCTTGATTGTTCGGTTTTAAAGGAAATCATAAACATTAAAGTAACACAGCTTGAACAGCCAAAAATATATTTGCCAAATGTATTATGAAATATAACTTAAGGAGAACATTTTCTCAAAATCAGACTTTTGCTATTTATAACTGACTGGAAAATATTTCTAATGTTCCTTTTGAAGCATTTTTATTGACCGAATAGAAGTTATTCTTTTGAAGATAATCTAAATATTTTTAAAATAAATTTAAATATCAATTTCATAATTTCCTAATGCAGAGAAAATGATTTTTGAATGATAAATCCCTTTGTTTTTTGAGAGGAAAGCTTAAGTACTAAAGACCCATGGAGAAAGGGATGCATCCGCACGCTGTTTTAAAGCAGCATGAAGATGCAGAAGTGTCATCCTGTCAAAATTCATCAAGACAAGCAGCATTGGAAAGATCAAGTATACAAAAATAGCAAAACTTTAGCAAATGCAATTACACTTGCTGCTTCTAATGAATTCTATTGTCTGCAGTATGCGCAGTTCATTCGACTGCTGGAAAAGTTATTGACATTGCCATGCGGTCCTGCCGAAGAAGAATTTGTGCAGAAGTTCCGCAGAAGTATAACTATTCAATCAAAAAAGCAACTGATTGAACCTGTGCAATATGACGGGCGAGGCCTGGCCTTCAGCACCGGCACAGGTAATGACCCTCCACAGCGAGGCTTCGGCTCTCCAGTCAGGACTCACACGCTGCTTGTTCTTATGCTGTTGCTCTCCAGGACCCATTTGCTTTGTTGGTCATTGCTATGCTACATTGGGTTTCCTAATTTTAAGGTCCTATGGGTGGGGGCTGTTCTTTAAACTGAACTTAGAATGTTGCAAGAGAAAGAGCGGACCCACAGCTATGCAATCATTAAACTACTTCATGTTTTCAACTGGTAGAATCAACAAAATATTTGTGATAAGGGATTGTTCTCAGAACTGCAAATGCTCAGTGAATCTGCGTTTCAGACTTAAACATTTAACGGGAAAGCCCGAGGCCTCAGCCCCACTCTCCTGGGTTAGGAGGGCGTGAGGGTGGCGGTAGACACGTTCCTTTTGAGATTTTCTTAAAGATTTAACCTCATTGATTTTTCAAGTTACCTTTGAATGTCACCTCTCTTAAGGATTCCTGTCCACTCTTCCAGTTGTGTAGATCAGGCCGGCCTTTAACTCACAGAAATCCACCTGCCTCTGTCTCCGAGAGTGCTGGGATTACAGGCGTGCACCACTGTTCCCGGCTTGATTCATTTTTATTATAAGAAACGTAATATGAGGTGATTGCTGTTTCTGTAGCAAGACAAATGAATGCAAATGACTTGGTTTTTGAAACAAATTTTAAATCATTTGCGTTTCTGAAATGGAACTGAAGAACATAGTTGCCTCACAGTCAGTTTTGTTACCTAGAACTCTCTCTCTGCAGGCTCACATGGTAGGGAAAGTGATCTTACTCTGGCCCTCTGAGGCAGGACCCTGAACCACTCATGGCTTTTCCATCCCTGCAGGCAGGAGGAAGAGCGCCACAGCAGAGGCCGTTGTCTATGAGCATGGAAGTGGGAAGATCCACGTGAACGGAGTTGATTATCTGCTTTACTTTCCCGTCACACAGGACAGGTGTGGGTTTGATTCCTGCTTTTTAAGAAAAGCATGCTTTATAATTCATCATCATAATTAAGAAGACCCGCAGTTTTCTGAATGTTTATCTGAAGGATTATTTCTCTGTACTAAGAAACCAGCTAAACAAAAACTATTGCTATTTTTCTAGGTCGTTTTTCAGATTTTTAGAAAAACATTCCTAGAAGCCCCTATTAATTGACTCATTTTGTCGGATCCCACTGGAATTTGAATATTGTGAGGCTTATCTCGCGTTCTGAAATGCAGAGTATGCCAAAACATAAGGAAAGCACACCTTCTGACGAGAAGACAGGTGTTCACAGAAAGCAGCAACCCCAGCAACCAACTCTGGCTCCTTAATTGACAAGGCTGAAAAGCAAGGGGAAGTAAGAGCAGGTCTCTGTGGCTTACACTGCAGAGAAAACATTATGAAATGTCTGCTGTGTCCCCTTCAGCTTTCTCCTGCTGGGGGAGTTAATTGTACATGTATAGAGGAAGCAAAGAAACCTGGGGTGTGTAAAGTCAAAATACAAGTTTTGCTCCATTGATGATGCTGTGTGTGTTATCCCAGAGAGGTTGACATTGTCCTAACAGGCATTGGACATCTTTGGTCCGCTTGTTCTCCTCCCCTTGGAGCTCTGAGGGAGCCGCCATGTAGAGCTCTTCCTGATGATGGTTATCACTTCAGGAGTGGGTTTGTGTAGCAGGAGCTAAGGCCTGTCTCCTAGCTTCTACTTTGTTTCCGGAGAGTGCTGATGCATAAAGGGGCTGAGCTCCTCACACCATGCTTGTGTGAGGAAGCAAGGGTTCTCCTGAAGTGACAGAGTAGTAGCTACCTCAGGAAATGTGCGTTTCTTGTCTTTGTATGTGTTCCTCTGTCAAGAAGGACTTGGTTCTTTACTCTGCGATCACCCACACTGAAATAGATGGAAGAAGCTTAGGGAAGGCCAGGGGCCCACAGCGCAGAGCGGTGGCTTCACTAGCAACAGCAAGGAGTGGCAGTTGGTGGGCGGCCTGCCTGTTACTTGATGTTCAGATGCAATTCCTGATGGTCTAACAGCAACGTTCAGCATAGCTTGCTCTGGCAATTCAGCTACAATGTAAATCTTTTACACACGCACTCACACCCACTCATGTTCCCCTCGTATCTCATGCTTTTGAGATATTGCATAGCTCTGCTTGGCCTGGAACTTGCTCTGAGACCCAGATAAGCCTTAGACTCAGAAAGATCCTCCTGCCTCTACTTCTCAAACACTGTGATTAAAGGCACATTCACCACTCCTGGCAGCTTCCTGGCAGCTTCAGCTTTTAGTCTGAAGTCAGCCAGCAGCAGTGTCTCTGTCTTGTCCTAGGTATGGACTAGACGTCAGTGCCTTCTGAAAGGATTTCTGTTTGGGAGGTCTGGCACTGCTCTTAGTGGGGAAGGACACTCAGACCCTCTGATTGACCTGAAGTAGCTGTGGGGACTAAGGGACACCCTGTCAGCCATGAATAGCCTCTTTTCAGAGAAGGAGAGCTGGTCATTACTAGTCAGCAGTGGAAAGACCGCTGAGCAATGGAGACAACAGAAGCAAGGATCAGGGCCTGTTTCTTAGCTGTGCAGCTTCCGTCAGGGAGCCTCCAGCTTGGCAGAGGGCGCTGAGCTGCTCATCCTGAAGTCACTGGGCCCTTCACCCTTCCAGGGCTATTTCTGTAAGGGCTGCGGTTTTTACAGACAGAGAGCGGATTATAAGGAAACTAATTTGCCTTCCTAGTGTCATCAGATTTTTAAAAATTATTATTTGCTCAAACATGGATTGATGTGTGTGAGGTACTTTGGGATAAAGAAAAGTTGATAACCTTTCTGGAAAGCAGTACTCACTGATATATGTGCTAACCATGTAGCAGAAGGAACAGGCTTGCATTTAAAGCAGCTACACAAAAATAAGTGTCTGTGTTTGGTCCCAGAGGAGTAGCGTTCAGAAGAAACCGTTTATTTATAACTGTTTAAAGTATGCCAGTTCGTACAGCCAAAACAAAGTGTGGTTCTTGTAATTAAGGAGCTCATAGATGCTCCTGAGAGAAGAGGCAGAGCTGTGAAGTCATTTCCTTTGATGGATCTCATAGTATGTGCTGGTTTACAGTCCCATTTCCTTAAAATTGGCACCAGTGGAACCATTATTGCCAATTGTTAAAGTTTTGGGTGGGGTTTGTAGATTGTCTTTTCCACGTAGTATCCCAACTTCCAGCTTCTGCAGACTCTTGGTCATCTTTTTTACCTTGACCAGTCTGCCTCCATTACTCTAATGTAGCTCCAGAAATTTTATTATGTAATTTGTTTTCTCTGAATTTTGGTCTAGTGCTTATATAAAGCATATGTTTGGGAATATTAAAACCTTAAGAATTGAGACAGAGCGGCCTGGAGAGATAGCTCAGTGGTTCAGAGCACTGGCTGTTCTTCCAGAGGTCCTGAGTTCAATTTCCAGCAACCACATGGTAGCTCACAACCTTCTGTACTGAGATCTGGCACCCTCTTCTGGCATGAAAACAGAGCATTCATATACAAAAAATAAATAATTAAATACTTTTTAAAAAAGAAAAAAAAAAGTTATTGGGGCCTAGAGAGATGGCTCAATGGTTAAGAGCACTGACTGATCTTCCAGAGGACCCGGGTTCAATTCCCAGCATCCACATGGCAGTTCACAACTGACTGTAACTCCAAGATCTGATGCCCTCATACAGTTTTACATGCATGCACAACACCAATGCACATAAAAGTGAAAATAAATAATTTTTAAAAATTGAGACAGATAAATGTTGACGGTCCAAACAAATGGTTGTCTACACCTCTTTTATAGCTTCATTTCTTTGCACTACACTTCCTGTCAGGTGATGCAGGGACTTCCTCAGTGTATGTGGGGGACAACCCCACTCTGTCCTGCAGTGGCAAAATTTGGTTATCAGTCTCTGGTTTTCTTAGTTTTTATAATATGGCTACTGCTTGCAGTGGCATAGCTAGTTTTGTTTGGCTGGCTTAAGTATTCTGTCAGAGCAGGGCAGGTTTATGTACTGTAGGATTGGCCCATCCTTGGATGTGCTATTACAAATACAGTTTGCCATTGCCTGGAAGTGCTTCTGTGGGTTGCTTGCAGGACCACAGCTTTTCTCACATAGTGTGAAAGTTGCATTTGACTCTCCAGCTGCTTCAGCTCTCAGCTAAATGTAAAGTCAGTTTTATTTGGGCTTCTAGAAGCTACAGTCTAAATAAAAGTTCCAGAAGTGTAGCTCAGGGAGAGTGCTTGCCCAGTTCACATGAGGCCTTGGGTAAATAAATAATTTAAGAACTTAGCAGAGGTAAAGGCAAAGTAGCAGAACCCAATTCTTTTGCAGAGATGGCAGTGAGCATCATACTGACAAAAATGGTGTTTAGCGGGTGCTTGTTCACCTGAGGCTCAGGACCATGCTTGTGGGGCTGCTCCTGGGTACCTACCTTTGGTTTGCTCGCTGGTCCTGAAGGAGCAGGCCTGCCTGTGTGTGCATCTGAGACAAGTATGGGAGGAGGTAACTTGGGGTGAGAGAAAGGGAGGCGTGTTCACTGTGGTGTGGTCACTTTGAAAACAGCGTCACACATTATGCAGGAACAGAACATTTAGGAAAGCCAAATGGTATTGGCTATGTATTTCTTGAGAAGGCCTATTAATTTATACCCGATTGTTGAATCCAAAGGTGGATTCAGCAGGTTAATGGTGCTCCCCAGCTGTAAGGCTCCTTACAGGGTGATTTTCACAACTTTCAAGGTTCTCATGAGATAATCAATAAACAGCAGGAGTTTCTGTAAGTACACTACTCTACCCTGTCCCAAACATACCCCCCCCCCCAAAAAAAAATCTTTGAACCATGCATAAGCAAAGCATTCCAAACCTCAGGAGGATCCGTGTTTCTGTGAGTAGTGTAACCACAGCAGGCATCATGTGGTTTGTGTAACCATTCACAAAGTTCTGTCTTCATGGGAGCCTTAATCCATGTATTGTGCTGTGCCGTAGAGAACAGCTGATGTTCCCTTTCCACTTCCTGGACCGGCTGGAAAAACACGATGTAACCTGCACAGTCTCTGGAGGAGGGAGATCGGCGCAGGCAGGAGCCATACGCTTGGCAATGTCCAAAGCTCTGTGCAGCTTCATCACTGAGGATGAGGTTGAGTGGCTGAGACAAGGTAGGTGTGTGTGTGTGTGTGTCTGTGTGTGTGTGCCCGAGAGTGTGTGCATGTGTGTGCAGTGGCTGAGACAAGGTAGCTGTGTGTGTGTGTGTGTG